TCACCTCCTTGTGATAGCCTAACGTGGACATTCATCTCTTCTAGAAAATATCAACTCCATTTATCCAAGCTCTTCTACCTCCATCATCTCTTTTTATCCTTATGCTTCTGTCCATCAAAGAGGTCTTATGTCTTTCTCCTCTGCTTGCTTTGGCTGTGATGGTGGTGGCCCTGGACCCACCATGAGTCATGGAGGAGGGTGTTCTCCTGCAAATCTTTTACACGTAGACAGAGATGTGACCTTCCAGAAACAGCTATTCCAGGCCATGTAGGTCTACAAGTCCCCTCTCACTCTCAGAAAATCTCTTGCATCTCTGGCATTAAATGGCAATAGATGGAATGCTGCAGCTGTTGACCTGAGTCCTGCCCACATCATCTCACAGGCCGGTGGGGTTGCAGAAGACAGTTTTCACATATCTTTTCTAGGGATGACCACAGCAACGCAACCTTCTTTATACTCGAGCAAGGGCGGACAAACTAGGACCCCTGGGCCAATTCTAACCCAATGCCTGTGTCAGTAAATGAAGTTTACTGGAATGCAGCCATGCCCATTTGTTTCTTTATTGCTTACTGGCTGCACTGTGCTGCCCAGCAGAGACCACAGAGCCTGTAAGCCTAAAGGGTTCACTCTCTGACCTAGGAAAGTAGTTCCTACCCCTGTTCTAGACTACATAGCTGGTAAAATGGTGAATATTTTCAGACTGCCTATGCTGAGAAATCAACAAGGTTTCTGGAGGACAGAAGTCACATTTCAAAAAGAGTTGAGCCTCATTATCATTTCATCAGACATTTTAGAATACATGAGGTACAGAGTATTCTGAAGCCTGTCTTTTTTCTTTTTTTTTTCAGGAAGGGGGTCTCTCATTGCCATGAAAGAACTCTTGGTCTTAGACATAATTTGGGTCAGGGAAGCCAGTTGCCCCTAATTGGGAATACTGAATCAGTTGCTGTTAATGACCCTGCCTTCTCACTTGCTTTTTCCCAGGCTCAGTGGGTCACTCAGTCTGGGAGCCACTGTACAAGGACCTCAGGCCCACCACAGACAAGCTCCTAGATTCTCCTTGCTCAGCTGGGCTTCCCTGAGTGTTGGTAACTCCAAGAGTAAGGGGGTTGTACCCTGCTCATTCCCTTTCACTTAATTTGACTTTAGTCAACTCTATTCTTGGGCTCACCAAAGAACGCAGAACAAATTCTGCTCAACACACCATGGTTCCCAGTCATCCATCCAGGGTTCAAAAATAAAAGTAGTGGTTGCTCTTCAAATCCACAAGCTCTGGAGTGAAGCAAGTTCTGTCCCTGGGCCACGCAGCCAGTCCCACAGGTGCTGTGCAGACCCATCTCTGTGCAGTGTGGGGCCCACCAGAGCACTCTCAGATATCCAGCTACTGGCTGATCCAACAGTTCATCAGATTTCTCAGCCTGGACAAAGGAGCTGTCTGCCTTGTTTTGTCAGTGGGTATGAATGCTGCCCTGGTCTGCCCTGGCCCCTCTTAGTAGATAATCACATGGATCCTGTCCCATTACAAGACCAAGGTCAAATCCATTCCAACAAAACCAAGGGCACATCCAAGTTCTCCCATGGCATGGGAGTGCCCTTGTACATTATACTCTTCAACAAAATAAAGAAAGGTGGGCCATGCCTGGAGCCTGGAAATGGGGACTTTGATTGGAGCAGGATTTCTTGTAATGAGATCAGGCCCAGAGTGGGACCTGACTCACTCTAGAAGCCAACAACGCATGCCCTTCAGTTTAATCCAAGATGGCTCAGTCACCTTCTTAGGATCATCTGTAACATGTCTCTGATCTTTAGAAATTCATGCTCAAGCTCTCAATGTTGGCAAATGCTGCAAGCTTCCCCTACCCAGCTGGCTGGGATGGCCTTTCTCCTGGCTGTCTCTCACTGCTGCATGGCCTAGGAGTAGATAGTGTACATAGGCCAAGACCCCAGGCCTATGACACTAAGGAATGTAGAACCAGAGCTTTAAAAGTTAGAAAGCAGGCATGCAGAATTACAAATCCAGAAGTAGAGTCTACAACATGAGGATCACCCACAAACTGAGGGTTAAAGGCCCCTTCTCCACTCACCAGCTTGTGTCAGCAGAAACACTGAGCTCTGGTGGGAGGGGGCTCTACACGACTTGAACAAGGTCTTTCCCAATGCTTCTCCCAACAATTTCACATGAGAATAGACACAGATGGACATCAGCTCATCCGACAAGCCTGTTTCTAGGGGCATCAAAGCAGGGATTTGGGTTTACTAACCAGGCAAAATCAGACTCCGAACTCTCTTGAGATAAGAACTATCAGAATAATTCTTCGGTTGTGCAAAGCCCAGCTTCTTGAGGAAACCAGCTATCAAGCTGGTGGGCCTGTTTGAAAATCCATATCTACTCTGAGTGGAGCATAGAGGAAGGAATAAACATTAGGAATATTTGATTCCTTGTGCCAATATCATATCCACCTTGGCAAAGTTAAGCCAATGGGAGTTTGAGGTTTTCAACTATCATTTGTGCTCTCTGCAATGCTAAAAAGACAGTAGACTAGGCAGGAAGAAAAATGTCCCCAAACGCCCCCTCTGTAGTTCAGTGAGTTTAAGTTTTCCTCCCAGATATCAGTTCTTAGGAAGGATGAATATGCCTGGCCCTCCCATGTCACAACAGCCAGTAAGAAATCAAGAAGAGGATTTTGATTATGGTAGGCCGGCGTGGGAGAGGGGAATGAGAACTGGACAGAGTCAAGACATCCCCCCGACCCAAGCAAACACAGAGGCCAGGGAAGGGCCTTTCTTGCCTGCTCCCAAACTAAGCAAGAGGATGCAGAAGAACTGAGGATAAATGAAATGCAGAACTTGTGCTCTCTAAAAATCGGCATTTTTTTGGCTGGAATAACTTTTGGCATCTTAGCCTGAGTTCAAGGTGGAGGAGTGGGACCTGGATACCCCACTGGGAAAGCAACCAGGTCCCCAGAACCTGGCTGGGCTGACGGTCTTCACTCCCCTTTCAGGACAGGGGCTGCAGCTGACATCTCAGGCTGTCACCCAGTGGCTGAAAAGGCTGACTAAGCGAAGCTTTTGCTTGTACCCTAGGAATGTCAGGGGAGTGTGGTGAGCTGCTATTTGGGGAGGGGGAGAAGGGCCTGAGAGCTACAGCTCAGCGGAAAGGGCTCCCTGATACTGCTTCCCCTCCACCCTCGCCTCGTGCGAAAGGACACAAGCAGACATGCTTCCTCAAAGGCAGGCAGCCTTTCTTCGGCATTGATAGGACGATGGGAAAATTAATAGGGGTAATATGAGCTCATTTCAATAATAATGAGCGTATAAACATGCCAGGTTTTGATCTTTTCTGATGCATGGATTCCTGGCAGGAACTAGGGTCCTACGTAGGTATTTGAAAGAACTGAAAATAGACTTAAAAAAAAAAATCCCCAAACAACAATGAAAAAGAAAGCACTCCAATCACAAACTTAAAACAACAACAATAAAAAAAAAAAAAAAAAGACAAACATCACTCCCCTGGAAGAAAAGAAAAAAAAAAAAATTGGACTGACATGAAACCCTTTTCTCCTTCCTTTAAATATTGTTTTTAACAGCTTCAAAAGTAATGAATTGTATGTGACTAAAAATAGATCTGGGGGTGCTGGTTAATGGGGCCTTATGAATCATTCAGCATAAGGAACTGTCAATATTTTTTTGAGCTGTCAGAAATCCATTTAGTGATTTTTGAAAATTCAAAAAATATTTCTGACTGCTTGATCCAGTTCTTAGTGAATTAGGGAAGGAGAGAGAAAAAGAAATATATCAATTTAAATTATGAACTGAATCCAGCTTGCTGATCCCGCTCTGTGCTAAAAGGAATGTCAGGATTCAGAAGTTAAATAGATCTTCGCTCCCTCCCTCCCTTCCTTCTTTCCTTCCTTGCTTCCTCCCTCTTGTCCTTCTTTCCTTATTCCCTCCCTCCCTCCCTTCCTACTTTCCGTCCTTTTTTGAACAAATAAAGTCACAGAAATGCATTCATGGGCTACAGATGGGAAGATACCATGGTCATTTGTCTCTAGTGGGAAATTTGGGCCTGGAAATAACACACTGAACTTCAATTTAGAGAAAGACTTTCAAATAATATCTGGGTGCCAAGAGAATGACTTTGATCCTCCCTGCCCACACCGACATTCATTTGATGCAGTTGTAGGCTTCAAATCTAGCATTACTTTTTAAGATCTGGAATTACTTTGGAGTAAACATATTCTTTAAGGAAGTAAAGAATTGCCAATTTGCTAACAAGATCAGGCAGGCATAAATCCAAGACAGACAGGATCACAACACTGCTAACCAGGGACTTCATAATGTACATTTCTTGTTAGAACAACAGACAGACGGGTTAAGAGACAGACAGAAGGCAATAATAGAAGGCCAAAGTCACAGTAACTGCCATTTGATATGTCTGAAGATGAATCACAAACACCCCACAACCATCTCCCTATTTGGAGAGAGGGTCATTTTATTTCTACATTGTGGTTAGTGTGATATGATTTTAGTATCCTCTAAGTCATTATAAAGAAAAGTTTCAGAAAGCAGATTTGGCTTAGCAAAGCAGTAAGGAATTGTCTTTAGGCATCTTATGCGTGAGTTGAAAAGACTGAAAAGTTTGCAAGTTACCAGGTCGCTTTTCCTTTTTGTTTTTTAAGTTTTTCCTTTCCCCCTCAAGTTATGGATTAAAAAACAGGAGTAGTTCATGCTGCGAGACCCCGCCCCCTTCTCTATGCCTTCAGTACAGGCATTTCAGATCACAATAATGCAAACTGAAACACAAAAGTAGGAGGTCCAACACTTCTAAATAAATTTGACTCTCATGATTGTCTACATTGCGTATACAGCATAGTTGGGGGTATTTTATGTGTAGTTCAAAATCTGCTCATGGATAGATTTACCCCATTTTTTAAAAAATGCACAAATCAGCACTGATGTTTTTGGGAAATGAACTAAAGGAAGAGGATTCTAAAACTTACCACACAAGTCTGGCCTCTTGATACATCCAGAATTTGCTGTGCTACTTGCAAGTCCGTTAAAGGCTGCTAAGCCATCAGAGCTATAGGCCCTGAGGACCGACAGCACGTTCATCGGCTTCTCCAGGCCCTGGGGCCCCCGCTCTGGCTTGGGCAGGCCCGCAGTGGGGTCCTGGGCTGGAAGAAGGCCCGGACTATGCCACTGCTTCTCCGACGCCTGGGGCAGAGGGGAGACCAGTCCCTGGACAGGCTGCGGGGTGCCCGTGGGCAGCAGGCCATCCCCGCTGTCGCTGCCCCCGTCCTTGCTCAGGGCAGGCGGCTTGCTCGTCACCTCCAGCTCTGTGTCAATATCCTCTTCCTCGTTGTTTTCTCCCTTGGAGGAGTCCATGTCCTCCGAGGAGGCGATGTCCGAGAGGTCATCAGTAGTGTTCTTATTTGTGGTTTCGGGGATCAGGATCGGGGCGTCATCTTCGGAGTGGGCCTTCCCGTCGGGCTCCCTGTTGGGGCAGGAGCTGGCGGCCCCTGAGCCCAGCAGGCCTGGGTAAACACCGAACTGCTTGTAGAAGTCTGATGGGAAGCTACAGAACGAGGGGTCCATGTGGCTGGGCCACGGGCCGCTCTTCTGCTCCCCCAGAGTCTCTTTGACCTGTCCTTGGGCCATCTTCTCGGAAGCCGAGTCTAGAGGTCCCATCATGGTGGAAAGCGCCATCTCTTTGCTTGATTGTACCGAGGGCAGCAAGGCCACTTTACTGGCCTCCCGGGCTTGGTCTTTGCAATTGACTGTCACCCCGATAGTGTTATCTTTGCGTTTCGCTTTGCCCAGGTGGTTGGCCTGGAGATGAAGAGCCATCAGCTCCATAGAGGACGTTGTGAAAGCACAAAACAAGCAGCCGTGCCACGCGATGCTATCTTGCACAGTCACCGAGGAGCCCGGGAGGGAGGCAGCGTCCGGCCGCACGGACAAGTCCAGGGGCTCATACTGAGACTTCTCAGACTTCCTGGGGACCACCTTGCCGCCCACCTTCTCCTCGCCGCCATCCGCCCCGTGGACCTTCATGGAAGGAGGGTCAGAGAGGGCTTTGTCCTTCAAGTCCTTCTCCTTCTTCAAGGAGCTTAGGACAAAGCTGTCCATGAACGCTTGCAAGGACCCTTGGAAATTCACACCGTTGTTCACGATACTTTGATAAGCTCTCCCGATTTCGGAGAAGTGGGTGCTTTTGGAAGGAAGGTCAGTGCCTTTCAGGGTGTCTGAAGGAGCCTCAGAAGACATGCCACTGGCCTGTCCTGTGTGATCTCCGGACGAGAGCGCTCCTGACGTCCACTGCTGAGACGCAGGGCCACCTCTGAAGTCGATGCCGGGGAGCCCCTTAAAGGCGCCCCTCAGGATGTCTGGCCTGATAAACAAAGCGGCTTTGTTGGAGAGCTCGTCCCTGTGGTCTTGGTTCGGGGGCTGCCCAGACAGTGGCCCAGCTCCATTCTGCCGCTCCCGGTGGTGCCGCTCTAGGTGGTATTTTAAGGAAGCTGATTGGGTACCAGCATAATCACAGTGGGGACATTTGTAGGGTTTCTCACCTGCAAGATTTTGGTATAAGGAGAAAAAAAAAAGTGTTAATCTCATTTTGGTGTGCTGAACAAGGCTAGAAGGATCAACATTTGTTCTTGGAAACAAAGCAGCTCAAACTAATAATTAGTTAGAGAACAACTGTTTTTTAATAGAAGAATAATTCGTACTCTTAAGCTTTTTTAATGATTTTGTACCATTTGGGACTATTCAGGAATGACATACTATCTACACACAATTAGCTATCTTTTTCTTTATCTAACATGTGAAAACGGCTGTAGATTTAAAAGCTATGATTATGAAAATTAAGCATAATAATTTCAACCACAGTGATCATTAAAAGTAGAAGTTTAAAAAGACAAAGTATGTAACAAATGGGTGGTTGCAATATTTTGTGTATACAATAGCTCTAAAATTTGTTTAAATTATACACATGGAAACCATTTTTAAACCTAAAAATTTTATGGCACTGTTACGCAAGACTGAAATGAATGATTTAAGTCTTGCTCTGCAGTAAATCATGGATATAATTAGCAAATGGCATACTGCACAAGTAATTTATCATTATTTGGAGGGCACCATTCCAGACGGGCTCAGATATCTGCAGACCTACTGCATTGTTTCTAAATAAAGAACTATAAATACCGATTCTATAAAATATTAATACCATTACAGTGCATTATGATTGCAGCATGTAAAGACATATAGTTAAGATAAAAAGCAGTCAATAAAACTTAAAAGAAAATGAGTAATAAAAAGGCACAAAATATATTTAGTTTCTGTATTTGAAATTAACATTATCTACTGGTCTTTGTAGTGCCTTAAATTTGTACTAATGGCAAACCTAATGCTCCGGTAGTAAAATGTGTAATTTACCTATAATAAGCGCTTTCTAGAGAATAAAAATAGCTTTAAAGACTGTTTTAAAACATATAAGATCATTTTCATGAATTAAATATTTATTTAAATCCAACACACAACTTCTATTGTTCTTTCCACTATGGAAAAAATACCATGACATACAACCGAGACCTGCCTGCATTATTGGAGAGGAAAAGAGAGGAGGGTAAACAAATGTGAATTTAAATATATTCTAAGAATTTGTTCACAGTCCAGGGTCTTTTCTGGACCTTGGAATCAAACAACTCTCTGGAAGGAATGGGACTGTTTGAGTTCCTTGTTTACAACAGCACTCTGTCAATAACCACAATTATTTCTCCAAGGAAACTCAGGCATTCCCCACCACTTCTTCTGTTCTGTTGTAAAACAGAGTGATCTAAAGCAATAGCAAGTCAAGGGTGAATGGTGTATTCTGGAGACATTTTACCATGTCTAGTCTCAGATGATGCTGGATTCCCAGTCTCCAGGCACAGGGTATTTTGGGGTAATCTACTTATTAGGGGCAAGGGGAGGATGCATGGATTTTGTAAATAAGAGGACCATCAGCCTGGGTTCTGACAGAGGACTCCGTGTCACCTCCAGACTGTGTGCTCCAGCCTTGGAGAAGCTATACCTGCCTCATCAGATGGTGGCTGTGTACTTCTCTTTCCCTCCTAGGTGCAGCTGAAGGTTCCCCAGGACGCATCAGAGAGGACCCAGCTGGGACTCTCTTTCTCAAGACCAGTGACATGGATCTACAGGAAGACTCAGTCCCTTTGATGTAGAGGCACAAAAGGCTTAAGGCACCATTTCCCACTTCTTGAAGTCAATGCCCATGATAGGCTCCAATTCCCTTCCGTCACTGCTATGTGACATCTCACTGGAGACTAGGGAACTCTGTGGGATGGGCATTGTGGATGGGGTACTTCTGGGCTGACCTAGAAGTCCAGTGCCAATTGCAGCAGAGGCAGCCCCTGAAGCTAAGGGGCAGGGGGGGCGGGGCAGGGGAGCGGGGGAGCAGGCTGTGGGGCTTGTGGCAGGAAAGCCTGACAAGGAACTCATGATCCTGGTCCACGGGTTGGTGTAAGGCCTGGGGGACGGCCCTGCAGTGAGAGCTGGCAAAGGTGCCTGCAGGTATTGGATGAGACTCAGGATGCATTTCAAAAATGCACCTGGAAATGATTAAGCGCATCTGGTAAAGGGTGTGCAGAGCATGCATGGGCATCCATCAGCATGAGCTGCAGCGGGAGAAGGCAGGGCTTCCCTCCACGCCTGGTGGGGTGGGGGCTGCCTTTCCTGGCCGACTGCAAGGATGCTCGGGGTATGTGTGTTGATTTCCAAGGGACACACACTTGAAATGCTCTTTGGAGCAGCGGTTCTCAGACTGTACTGAGCATTAGAACCTCCGGGGGAGTTTAAAACAATGGTCCTGGGACCCAAAGCACAGCAGTTCTGATTCCCTGGGTCTGGGGGTGGGAGGCAGAAGTGGGTGGTTCCATAGGTGTCCCTGATGATTCTGATGTCAACAGTGTAAACATTATATTTTGAAAAATCAAAGTGGAGCTGCTTGAAGAGCTTTAACAAGTGCTGATGACTGGTCCCACCTTTATTTCCAGAAGTTCCTCTGGCAGATTGGCCTTTGGGGTTGGCCTGAGGGGGCAAAGGCCCCCTCACACGACCCTCTATGGAGCTTGGGTGGAGAACCACTACATGGAGCCTCCCTGGGAAGTGCCTTTGTAGGTTGATGCTGTGGGACCGAGTAGCAGAGGAACTAGTCTGGACCTCTGGACCCCAGGAGGCGTTTGGAGAGTCTGGGATAGATATCCTGGGCTATTTTTGCTCCACTGGGCACAGGATTCTCATCTTGGGACCTTTGCTTCCTTGACCTGTAATGTGGCAAGTTGGAGCATTGTTCTCTATGGCATTGTGTCAATTCTAAAGGCTGCGTCCAGAGCTAAACCAAGTTTCCTGAATGATGCCAGAGACATACATGTCCATACATGTATGCAACTGCACACCCAGAAACACACAGATTCATTCACACAGGCTGTGAGGGAATGAGCAAGTCCCTACCCACCGAGTACTGTACTTGGTGCTGGAAACTAGGTGAAGAACCAAAAAGACAAGACCCCTGCTCTCACAGCTTTGAGAGGAGACATATCAGAGATATTACAGTGGGGGGCACACCACACATTACACACAGACACCACATACCACATTCACACACACAGACACTGTGCATATACCACACATCACACACACGTACCACACCACACACACACATACCACATACAACCCACACATCTCATTACACACCACACACACACACCACACACAACCCACACGTCTCATTACACACCACACACGCACACAGACACTGTACACATACCATACCACACACACACACCACACACAACCCACACGTCTCATTACACACCACACACACACACACACCACATACCACACACACACGTACCACACCATACACACATACCACACACACACACCACACACAACCCACACGTCACATTACACACCACACACGCACACAGACACTATACACATACCATACCACACACACACACCACACACAACCCACACGTCTCATTACACACCACACACACACACACACACCACATACCACACACACACGTACCACACCATACACACATACCACACACACACACCACACACAACCCACACGTCTCATTACACACCACACACGCACACAGACACTGTACACATACCATACCACACACACACACACCACACACAACCCACACGTCTCATTACACACCACACACACACACCACACACAACCCACACGTCTCATTACACACCACACACGCACACAGACACTGTACACATACCATACCACACACACACACCACACACAACCCACACGTCTCATTACACACCACACACACACACATACCACACATCACACACACACGTACCACACCACACACACACATACCACACACAACCCACACATCTCATTACACACCACACACAACCCACACGTCTCATTACACACCACACACACACACACCACACATCACACACACACGTACCATACCACACACACACGTACCACATACAACCCACACATCTCATTACACACCACACACAACCCACACATCTCATTACACACCACACACACACACCACACACAACCCACACGTCTCATTACACACCACACACACACACATACCACACATCACACACACACACACGTACCACACCACACACACACATACCACATACAACCCACACATCTCATTACACACCACACACAACCCACACGTCACATTACACACCACACACGCACACAGACACTATACACATACCATACCACACACACACACCACACACAACCCACACGTCTACATCACATTACACACTACACACACACACACAACCCATACCACACAGCACATACACAGATACCACATAATCCCCAACATACACACCACACATCACACACACACACCCCCCACACATCACACACACACATACCACATACAGCCCACACATCACATTACAAACCCCACACACATACCACACACCACATCACACACACCACACACACACACACACACATATCATACATACCCCATACATCACATCACACACACCACATTACACATACCACACAGCACACACATGCAGATACCACACAAACCCCTCCCCACACACCACACCACCACACAGACACTATGTATATGCCACGCACATTCACACACAGAGACACCACATACATACTACACACACACACATACACAGAGACACCATTCACACCCCACACATCACATACCACACAACCACACACACACAGACACCACACATATACCACACATCACATCACACAAAACACACACACACACATACCACATACCACACACACACACCACACAACCACACAGACACTATATACGTATCACACACATGCAACACACACATATTCACACACACATACCACACACACACCACACACACACAGAGGCATCACATACACACCACAAATCACACACACACACACACACACATCACACAATATAGGAGAGGATCTCTTCACTTGACCCATTGCTCTTTTTCCAAGTAGGCTTAGACCTCCACTGTTTCAGGCGAG